AATTTTCTTTAAATTAAGCAGCTTTATTAAGGGGCTGTATCTTTAAGTGGAACACAATAAACTATAGATATGCTGTTATTTGGATTGCAATTCAAAGGAAAAGAGACAACTCGGGAATAGAGGAAGGTTGAGAATAGGACATATGACAAATATGAGCTAGCACTTATCTAGCACTTTAAAGGATTGTAAAGCACTGTACATGTTTCATTTGATCCTCACAACAATCCTTTGAGGTAACTAATATTATTATCCTCAATTTACATATGAGGAAACTAAGGCTGAGAGAGTTTACATGATAGTGTCATGTTATGCAACTAGTAATTGTCTGAGGTGGGATTTGAACTCACATCTTCCTGATTCCAAGGGGTGGAGCCAAGATGGTGGAGTGAAAGCAGTAACTTGCTTGAGCTCTCCCCCAAACCCCTCCAAATACCTATAAAAAATGGCTCTAAACAAATTCTAAAGCAGCAGAACCCACAAAAAGAGAGAGTGAAGCAAATTTCCAGCCCAAGACAACCTGGATGGTTGATCAGAAAGGTATACCACGCCGGGTTGTGAGAGGAGCGCAGTGCGGCATGGGTGCTCAGGCTGCAGTGAACCTGGAGCAGGCCTCAGAGGACTGAATCGCGGGCAGCTGTGGCGGTTTCCAGACTCCTCAATCCACGAATGCCAAAGACAGCTTAGAAGGTCAGTGGGAAAAGCCTGTTTCTGCAGTGCTGAGAAAGGAGCGTGGGGTCTCAGCTCCATTCCCTAAAAGCGTGGCCCTGGGGGGGCAGCTGCCTCCTGAGCTTCCGGCCCACAGACTGAGGGGGAATCCAGTGGCTGATCAGAGAGGGATTGCGGGGATCTCTTTGCTAGTGTTGAGGCAGGAATCTCTTGCTTTGCCTGTGCTTGGATCTGGTCACAGTTCTAGGTGGCGGTCCTGGGGTGAGGAGGGGCACTGGCACAGTGGAGCTTGTAGTGGCTGTGCAGAGTAAACTCACAGTTACAGGACAGAAAGGAGTACTTGTGGTCACTAACAGACCACAGCATAGGCCAGGAAAGGAGTAAACACCTCACTCCTTATCATACCACCCTGGAAGAACTGAAAATTTACAGGTCCCTATAAGTATCTCTGAAAACAGTTGTAAAAACCTCCGAAGCTAGGGACAGTACATTCTCCACATTGGAAGCAGACTCTTACCTTAACAAAGAGTTTAAAACTCAAGTAGTTGGCTGGGATCATGAGCAAGCAGCGCAAAAAGAGTCAGACTATATTATCTTACTTTGGTAACAAAGAAGATTAAAATATACAACCAGAAGAAGACAACAAAGTCAAAGCTCCTACAACCAAAGCCTCCAAGAAAAATATGAATCAGTCCCAGGCCTTGGAAGAGCTCAAAAGGGATTTTGAGAAGCAAGTAAGAGAAGGAGAGGAAAAACTGGGGAGAGAAATGAGAGTGATGCAAGAAAATCATGAAAAACAAGTCAACAGCTTGCTAAAGGAGACCCAAAAAAATACTGAAGAAAATAACACCTTAAAAAAATAGCCTAACCCAAATGGCAAAAGAGGTCCAAAAAGCCAATGAGGAGAAGAATGCCCTAAAAAGAAAAATTGGCCAAATGGAAAAGGAAGTCCAAAAGATTACTGAAGAAAATATTTCCTTAAAAATTAGAATAGAGCATTTGGAAGCTAGTGACTTTATGAGAAATCAAGACACTGTAAAACAAGTCCAAAATAGAAAAGCAATGTGAAATATCTCATTGGAAAAACAACTGACCTGGAAAATAGATCCAGGAGAGAGAATTTTAAAAGTATTGGACTATCTGAAGGCCATGATCAAAAAAAGAGCCTAGACATCATCTTTCAAGAAATTATCAAGGAAAACTGCCCTGATATTTTAGAGCCAGAGGGCAAAACAGAAATTGAAAGAATCCACTGATCTCCTCCTGAAAGAGATCCCCAAAGGAAAACTCCTAGGAATACTGTAGCCAAATTCCAGAGTTCCCAGGTCAAGGAGAAAATATTACAAGCTGCCAGAAAGAAACAGTTCAAGTACTGTGGAAACACAATCAGGATAACACAAGATTTAGCAGCTTCTACATTAAAAGACAGCAGGGCATGGAATATAATATTCCAGAGGGCAAAGGAGATAGGATTACAACCAAGAATCACCTATACAGCGAAACTGAGTATAATACTTCAGGGGAAAAATTGGTCATTCCTGATTCCAAGTCCAGTGTTCTTACTCGCTGGGCCACCTAGCTGCCTGAGTAAGAGAGAGGGTTCTGTACTTGGAGTCAAAGACTTGGGTCTGAATTGTAATTGTGCTATTTACTAACAAATAACCACCTCTCTGGGCTTTAGTTTGCTTATCTCTAACATGAGGATAATAATTCTTGCCGACTTTCCTCACAGAGTTATTTTGAGGAAAGCACATTGTACATCAAAGCACCACAGAAATGTGAGTTTTGGTTTTGTTTGTTTGTTTTTAAATAATTATCCTGGAGTGGAAAGGGAGTAGGTAGGAGACAGAAGAAAATTAATCTCATGGAATAGTAACCCAAGGGAGGGGGGAAAGTGTATTATACAAGGGATAGGGATAGGGCCTGGATCTGTAATTTCATAGGTATGGGGAACTCCTAGGTAAGGAAATCCCTCCCTACTAATGCAAGCCAGGGTCTTTCCCACAACTTAATGTCTTATAGAGTTGTCGAGAGTAGCAGTGCCAAACCTGAATGGAAATGAGAGCTGCTCAAACGTGTACAAGGATCCCTGCAGGCTGCATGGTGACTTAGTTTTAAAATACCATGTTATCCATGTTTTATTGTAGTTTTATTTATTTTGTTCAATATTTCCCAATGACATTTTAATCTGGTTCAGACCACACTAGGGAGTATTACAGGTACTGAGTGATTTGACCAGGGCAATGCCGCTAGTAGGTATCAAAGGGGTTATAGAAACTAGAAAAATTAACAGTATACCTTTATTTTTAAAAGGCCTATTATAACTGAAAGACTAAGGAGGGAAGACAGTCTGAATTAAATTGGTGTAATTCAGAAGAAGATTGACTGGTAATCAGCAGACCTGAGAGTGGGTAACATGGTATAGTTTACTCCCACCATTTGCTACCTTCCTTTCTATTCACATGCTACTGAATGAAACCAGAGAAAAATCACAAAACCATGATAACTGGGTCCACTACAGATTTCTATGATGTGATTTCAAGGGAATAGCGTAGGTGATTTACAAGATCATTTCAAGCTCTAAATTTTGTGATTCAATAATAAATAAATGAGATTTTATTGTAGAGCAATATTTGATGAAAAAACTACAGAAAAAAAAAGATTTCCTGAAATAGGTATATTACAAGAAACCACAGGACTATAATATTTTATCTTAGGCATGTTTGAAGTATATGATCTATGATCTGTCACAAAGTCACAGCCAAAATAGTACAAGCAGGGGCAGTGAGGTGGTGCAGTGGATTAGAGCACCGGCCCTGAAGTCAGGAGCACCTGAGTTCAAATCCGGCCTCAGACCAAACACTTGACACTTACTAGCTGTGTGACCCTGGGCAAGTCACTTAACCCCACTTACCTAAAAAAAAAGAAAAAAGAAAGAAAGAAATAGTACAAGTATCTCGAAGTTGCAAAGCTTAAATAAAAAGTGCCAGGAACACATTTATTCTTCTAAATGTTGAAGCAAGGCCAAGACAACCAGAAAAAAATGTTTCAACTATTCTAATTAACTTAGCAATTTGTTTCTTTTCCTTTCACCTCCTTAAAGGCAATAGTCTCTATAGGGGAGAATACAAATTAGATTTAATGGAGATAAATGTAAAATCTTGCACTAAAGTTAAAAAAAATCTGCTATACTAGCATAATAAGATAGAGAAGATAAAACTAGGAAGCAGTACACATGAAAAACACCTGGAAATCTTAGGGCCTGAGTTTTCATTGAGACATCAGCATGCTTTGGAATTTTAGGCTTCAATAATAAGAGTAGGATAAGAGCTAACAGTTCCACTCATCCAAAGAAAGGGGATTAAGATGCTATAATGCTGCCACAGCTAGGGAAGCTGGGAAACTGATGTGCTGCTAATAGCCTAAAGAGGGCACCAACTTCTCTGAGATTGCTGGCAGACAGCAGACTAAAGCAAGGAAAGCCCTGGACTCTGAGCTGCTGTTGAAGCTAAGCCATTATGCTGCAGATGAGGTCATTTCATGGCACAGCATTGCAACTGTGGGCACTCTGTTTATTTGTGTGACTTTCCCAGTGTCTGTGCTCCTTTGTTTTTTGTGAGACAATGAGGAAATTTTGTGCATTAGGTTGTGCTACAAACTGCCTAAGGTCTTTGGCAAAAAACAAACAAACTCAAAAAGGTCTGGCAACAATGACTTTGTCATGAGGTCAGCAACAGCAACAATACCTTGACAATCTCTTCTGGGCCCTTCCCTATGCTCCTGAGTATGTCCGTGGTGTCACAGATCCTATAAGCACATAACGAAGGAACTAAGAATGTTGAGATCAGAAAAGAGAAGCTTCGATCCATGCCCTCGTCCTGGCTCTGAAACTAACTCACTCAGCACATGGCTCATATGTACCTACTTATTTACACATTGTCTCTTCCATTAGAAGATGAGCTCCATGAAAGCAAGCACTATTCTAGTGTCGGTATCGCCAGCTCTCAGTACAGCACCTGGCACACAATAGGTGCTTCATAAATGCTTGCCGACTGACTATGCCAGTGATTTGGGTGAACTACTTACCCTTTTTCTGGATTTCAGTGTCTCCTATGTCAAATGAGGGGATTGAACTAGATGGTCTCTAAGCTTCTCACTAGTTCTGAAATTCTATAATCTATAATGAGCTAAATAAGTAAATAAATCAAAAACAGGATTATAGCAACAGCATTTAGCATATTAAAAATCACCCAAAATCAGAGTACACAGGGCTAATGAAAATTTTAGACGTTATTTAAAGACAGAGCATTTTTGCGGATAATACTTGTACTTACTGTAATATTCCAGTTGATCTGTGGTATCCTTGTGTGAAGATTGAGACTGAACATAAGCAGCAAAACTCCAGTAATTACAAACGCACTACAGCTCACAAATTCAAAGAAATAGAGCCCTTCACATGGGGAACATTCCATGATAGTCTCTATGCAGATGAATGCAATCAGTGCCAAAACCTAGAAAGATAAACAGAAAGATCCATTGAATATAAACATATCTGTGCATGTTTGTTTAGCACATCAGTAGACACATAAGCTTACTATATTTAAACAGAACAGCAAATCTTTCAGAATGCCCATGGAGAATAGAGGAGACATGCCACAGGATCTGGGTTCCAGTTCCAGCTCTGCTACTTAACTCCATGCGGCCATGAGCGTTTCACTTTCCCTCTTTCCTCGATTGTAAAATGAAGGGTTGGATTTAGAAGACTGCTGAACGCTGTATCAGCTCTTACTACTCCGTTCAATTCAAGTCAACGTTTGTTAAGTGCCTTTCACGTGGAAGAAGACATCGTTTGGCACCACAGAAAGACAAAACAAAGTAGTACCTGCCTTCAAAAAGCTTACCTTCTACTGGGAAAAATACAACATGAACACAAACAAGCAAATACAAAGTAATTCCGAGAGGAAGGAAAGGCAAACACCTGGGAAAGACCTTGCGAAGGAGGTGGCACGTGAACTAGGCTTTGAAGAAAGACAAGGAAGATACAAAGCAGAGGTGAGGAGGGGGGATCACGTAAAACACTGAGCATCACCTTGCAACAGCAAAGAGCAGGCCAGGTCATAAGGTCTCAACTGGACTCTGGGTTGTTCATTTGGAAGTATCATTAGTAAATCATCCAGAATTAGATGCCCACTTATGACCATGAAGAGTTCAAATGTTCCTGACAACAGCTTATGAGTACAGTGTCTAAAATGGAACTCTTCCTCTCTGGTCCAAACTAGCTTCTCATCCTGCCTTTTCTACTTCTGTTTATGCTTACACCATTCTAATTGTAAGTAATTCTACATGAAACTCCTAAAAGGCATTTGTACACCAAGAGCAAAGAATCTCATTATTTTACATTTCTATCTCAACCTAATACTAATTCAGATTTCATTTCTTAAGTCCAAAAACTCATCCATGTTTCTCTAGATGTCCTTCCCAAAGTCTCTCTACATAAAGATACATAAGTTACCCAACTGAATGACAACATGCCTATAGTCAGCTGAGAAGGGACCAGATATGAGAAACTCCTCAAGCTTTTCTTTTTTAATACATTTTCTGTAACAAGAGCTAGTAATCTTCAGTAAGAAATAACATAGTGTACTGACGAGTTGCAAATGCCTCTGGTATGCTAGCTTCAAGCTGGTACTCCAGCTTATTTTAATACATCAAGCATCCGCAATTTCATCAGCATGGGTTCCCCCCTCTCTAAACCAATGCAGATTAAAGTCCCTCCACCCCATGGGCTGACTTACAGGCAGGTCCTAAGACAAACACACAGGCTGTCACAAGGCATGTACTCAAATCCTTTCCAGCTTGGTAGAATTTATCAGTTTGTATTGTATGGAATGGCCTTGAAAATGCCAAAGTCACCTGCACATTCCAGTAAGACTTTCTTTTAACAGGAGGACATTTTATGAAAATGCTAAAGCCCATCAGACTGATCCTTAAAAAGAAGTCTGTACCACACAGTCTTTTTCTTCTACAGCCTGTCTGTCCCAAGTTATTGACACTAGATAGTATGGATTCTCTGACTACAGTATGCGCATCTCAACAACATAAAAAGGATACAAGTAAAGAGTGATCTACGGAATTTCTTTGTAAAATATCATTTTCCATTCTTAAATTTTGTTGAATTAGCAAATAATGCGGAGTGATATTTCACCCACACTACACTTTATCAGAATACCAACAGTTGGATTGACTACCAAAAAAGTGACAGTATTTAGACGGGAAAGAACACAGCTCTCTACCACCTTAAATATGACTTAAATTGCTCCCATTATTTCTAATTTTTAAAAATGAAAATCTCAAGAATAACTTGCAAAATCACTAGGACCCACAACATTTGAGAACTAAATAGTCATTCTTACTTCCATTTCCCTGACCTTACCAAAACTGAGGCAGAAAAAAATTTAAGTCAAGAATCAAGTTAAAAAGCACAAAGTTGAAACCACCCACTTTGGTTGGAATACACCACATAAAATAGCTTTCTAGATTAGTTTTTTGTTAATGCAAATTCCCAATTATTATCCCTAAAGTGAACCATTTCTCTAACAAACTCAAAAATTATTAAGCCTGTACAAGGCATGTGTAGCATTTATAGTGAATTAGAGAGAAAACTACATTTGGAATCAATAAGCACTGGGTTCAACCAAAGCTTCTGACACTAGTAATGGAACCCTGGGCAAATCACTTAATCTCTATGGGTCTCAGATTTTAATTACTAGGATGAGCCCCAGGATACTAATCTGTTTGTGTGAGGAGCTTCCACACTGGGAAGGAGCTGACAAAGTCAGAGCTCTTTGAGTATTTATATATTTGCATATGCAAAAGACACTGAGAATACAGAGGGAAAAAAAATCACACTTTCCACCAGTAAATAACTTAGAACATAACTGGGATGGGAAAAGGGTTACGATACAGACTCAAGGAGGTAGGATTAAAGATGGAGAATAAAGGGAGTAAAACACTTGAAGCGTCCCACTGCCATCGTTCTTAGCACACAAAAATAGGCTGTGATTGCTCAGCTGGATCCTGAAGCAGTTTGGGCTTCTGCTCCCATGCCCTGGATTTGAAAGCTGCTTCTGGAAGGTAGGAACAGCAGTAGCAGCCCAAAAGTAGCAACAGTAGTCAGAGCTACCCAACGAGTACCAAGTGGAAGAAAGGGCTAGATGGACATGTCACCTAAATTACCATCCTGGCATTAGTGGATTCTTGCAAATAAACTGATATTTCAAGGATCCTTTATTTAATCAGTGTGGGTATTTCCTCCACCAATGTAAGATCACAACCTTTCTATGCCTCAGTAGACTATCTTCGTGATTACATAAGACTGTAGGGTTAGAGATGTAAGTGACCTTACAGGTAATTCCATCTGACCCTTTCATTTTACATATGAGGATATAAAGTCCAAAAAGGTTGAGTGTGTTGCCCAGATTCACACAAGTAATAAGTGGCAGAAGCCAGCGTTTTAACCTAGGTCCTTTGGCTCCAAATCTAACACTCTTTCCTTTGACCTCACACTGGTTGTGGCTAAAAAAATTCACCCCCTCGTAACTGAACTTCTGAGCGGCAGCGAGGCGGCACAGTGGATAGAGTGCTGGGCCTGAAGTCAGGAAACTCATCTTCCTGAGTTCAAATCTGGCTTCAGATGCTTGCTAGCTGTGTGACCCTAAGCAAGTCACTTCACCCTGTTTGCCTCAGTTTCCTCATGTGTAAAATGAGCTGGAAAAGGACATGGCAAGCCAATCCAGTACCTTTACCAAGAAAACCCCACATGGGATCATGAAGAGTTGGACATAACTAAAACAACTGAACATTAAACTGAGCTTCTGAGGACAAATCAGTATAGTGAAACTACCCGGCACAGTGGGCTTTAAGTTAAGACATAGGTTTGAATCCTAGCTCTGGCATTTAACTATCTTGGGCGACTATGAACAAAATCATTTCTCTAAGCCTCCATTTCCTTATCTGTAAAAGAAGGAGAATAATATTTGTGCTACCTGCTTTACACATTTGTTTTAAGAAGGTATATTATACGTTTAAAGGGATGTATAAACGAGAGTTATCAGCATAAGACTGAAAATGGGACGAGTCATTACTGGGACTGTGATATTCTTGAAGTCTTACCAGTTTGGAGTCAGAGCTTGGGCTCTACTGGCACAGCCCCCAGGACACCAGGAGAACCTCCTGGGCACAATGAGGCAGCAGCACAACTTGAGAAGAGGTCCCAGGTAACACTTGCCACTACATCTGTCACAGCTTAACATTTGGCCATAAAAGAGCTGAAAGCATCTTCTGGCTTCCTATTTTTTTTTTTTAACAAAATAAGAATAAGCTTGTTAGAGAAGCTTTGTCTGGAAGAGATAAAGCACCATATTTTCTCTATTGCTCAGAGAAAACTCTCCAGTTTATTATGCAGAACTAAATGGAAACACTAATCTAATGAACTAAAAATCAGTGTTCAAAATGCTTTCAAGCATCCTGCCTTATCATGAATTAAATCGTTGGGACTAAGAACAAGCCCCCATTCCATTTGGAAATTAATTCATGAATATTTTAAGATGAAACTAAATACTTAGTGGAAAACTAAAACCACTCTGCCAAGGCAGAAGTCACTTCTTTCCTCCAGCTGGTGCCACAGCTTGATGCCCTCTCCATGAGAGAGGAAAGGAAGTTTGCAACCAACAAAGAGGTGTTAGGTGCCGAGACCGGGAGTCAGGAAGGCCTGAATTCAAATCCTGCCTCAGATACTCACTAGTTGTAAGTCACTTAACCTCTGCCTGCCTCAGTTTCCTTAACTGGAAAATGGGGATAATAATAACACCCCCCCGGGTTGTTGTGAGGATCAAATAAGACAATATTTGTAAAGAGTTTAGCACAGTGCTTAGCATATAGTAAACACTATATAAATGTTAGTTCTTATTATTATATGAGATAATATTTGTAAAACACTTTGCAAAGCCCCATATATCATTATTAATGTCATTGTTGTCCTAATGACATACACTTCCTGGTAAGCAAAGGGAGAAGTCAGCAGCTTTACAATCTACCCACCACTGTACCCTCCACACCCTGGGTATTACCATTTGCCCCTACACCTCAACTCTCCTATCAGTGTTTTCTCCTCTATTAGAATGTGAGCTCTGGAAGAGCAGAAGCTATCTTGCTTTTCTATTTATATACTCAGTGGTTGAGCACAGGGGTAGGCTCCTAATAAGCACTTGATTTTTTTTAATTGATGCATTTATTTGAAGGGTTCATAATCTTTGACAGCCTCAACCATAATGCAAATGTCTTTCCACAATATCAAAATAATACTTCTGAATGTTATAAACCAAGAGTATTATACAGAAAGTCTACTATGTGCTAATGATGGAGTCTTTTGTAGGCAATAAAATCTCTAGTAGTATGGACTTTGAAGACAAAGAATGACAAACACATTATTGACAATTGGTTGTTGAGGAAT